GGGGGGATCAGCAGGCGCTGGGGGAGTCCCTGTTCCCCCGAGCGCCGCAAGGAGTGACCAGGAACAACGGTCACAAGCTGGCGGAGGGAAGGTTTAAGTTGGATATCAGGAGGCGCTACTTCACGGTCAGGGTGGCTAGAGTCTGGAACCAGCTTCCAAGTGGGGTGGTGCAGGCTCCCACCCTGGGGGTTTTTAAGAGGAGGTTAGATGACCACCTTACTGGGGTCATTTGACCCCAGTGCTCTTCCTGCCATGGCAGGGGGTCGGACTAGATGATCTGCTCAGGTCCCTTCCGACCCTAGAAACTATGAAACTAAGTATTTTGGGAAGGCTCAACAGGTATTTCCTGGCCAAAGATTTGTTACCTTTGGCTATGCCCTCAAAAGGGAATTTAAACCACCCTATGCCAAGTTCACAGTCTTTAATCCAAATAACTCTACTTAGAATTTGTTGCAGAATTTGTACCTATGGGTCTGAAGCAAAACCTACTAAGTCCATGAAAACACTCCCATTGATGACTGTGGGCTTCAGGTCAACTCCTGTGTATGTACATATTGCTTCCTTCTTCCTCCATTTGCAGAGGTCCTGGTCTTCCATGCATTGATGCTGGTGTTGCATTTGTTCAAGTTGGCACTTTCTCTGCCCTCCTCTTAAGCGTACACCTTAACTGAGTTGGGAGAATAAAACTTGCTTCGGGAGTCTGGAGCCTGTCATACAGATGATCTGATATTGCAGTCTTCAAGCACCATTTCCTCAGGCATCTGAAGGCTGCTTTGCTCATCTGAGGGGATGCTGGATTTCTTCCATGTCAGCCTTCTGCAAGAGATGGCTTCCAAGGTACAGGAAATACTCGACATTCTCGTCACACCATGACTCTGAATTACTGGAATTGGGGACTGCTCATTAAGAGCTTGTTGGTGGAGGACCTCAGTTTTCTGAATGTTAAGCATCAATCCCATTTTCTTATATGCCACAGTAAAGACATCAGTTGCCTGAAGGTCTGCTTCCGAGGAAGCACAGCATCATCAATGTACTGGAGCTCGATGACTGAGATCAGGGTGGTCTTGGTTTTGGCTCAGAGTTGGCAGAGATTAAACAATTTACCATTCATTTGGTAGTTTAGCTTCACTCTGACCAGAAGCTGTTGGTGGTCAGATGTAGTATCGTGGTGAGGAATACTGAGAAGAGTCTCGGAGCAACGATGCGGCCTTGCTTAAGTCCCATCTTAACTTCAAAGGAATCTGTGATAGATGAGAACCACCACTTTCATACCATCATGGAGCACTGCCCCAAATGGAGGAAGAGGCTGCTGCAAGGATCTCGGCACTTTGAAACCTTCCAGCAACAACAAAAGACTGAAATGTGGGAGGGGCAGAAACGGTGTGTGCAAGCGAATCGAGAATCCAGAGCCACCAAATTCACATGCCTGAGTTACAACATAGTGTCACTCCCGAATCGGCCTCATCAGCCATGTTCAGACCCACAGATAAGACAATCATGGAAGATATGCCAATGAGGAAGAGAAAAAGAGAGGACACTGCTACATTACCAAAAGAAGTCCTGGTTTGTGGATGTTCTGAGCCCTTAAGCTAGGATGCCATGTCTTCGACCCATCTGAAAGCCTGCCTTGCAGTTGGATTAAAACCTAGTGAAAAGAAGTAGGCACTGAAACATGGAGGAATTTATGTTTTAGAGGAGATTTCTGGGTAGTCGTGTCCTGTGTCCTGCTATTATAGGCAACCGTGTCATATAACCCCGTCTGTAAACTAACCAGACTGCATGTTAAAAATAATTAGGTATTAGTCCCCACTACTCCAGTTGGAAGGCTGTTTCATAACCTCCATTCCCATGAGGCTTGGAAGCTTTTCCTGATTTCCAGCCGAAATTTATTCACAGATGTATTTTTTTACCTGAATAAATTGTTCTTTTTCCCATCAAAAACCACCACACGGTTCAGCACAAGATGTGAAAAATGACCTCACTCTGATCAGGAAATGACCTTGAGGTCAGATTGGCAACAGGCTATTGTGTTCATTTCCCTTCAGACCAGCCCTTCAGTCTGGATTAGAAAAACATGCTCTGGTAACGTATCTCACTGAGTCTCTTCCCCCAGGTGCCAGGGGTGGCTTGCATGCATCTCAGGTCAGTGGAACTCAAAGTACAAATCCCAACATCCCAGTGACAGTGCAGCCAAAGGATGCAAAACTATTCGAAAGGAACAAACAACTTACTTATTCTGAATATAAGCGTAACCCCTCATGTGGAGTTGATTAACAAGCATCCCCCATACAAACCAGACAAAGCTACTAAAAGGGAAAAACAAGCTGTTCTCCCTGACCAAGGTAAGGATGTTGAGGGAACTAGGAGGAGAGGCAGGGACTGAAGTGCACAATTTGCAGTGACAGGCTTCCAAAGCTACTTGTAGGTGAGGTCTATGAAAAGGCAATAAACACAAAGTTTTGGAGATCATTCCTATTGCTTCAGACATTGCCTGTTCTATAACCTGCATTGGTTACTGGTGGCTATTGATTAATTGTGGTTTTTTGGATCAGGATCAAGAACAATATCTCAGCAAACAGCACCACAATCTCCCAAATCTGGAATGGAAGCAACATCTGCACCTTCAGGTAACCTCAGGAGGCTCCTTCAAGTCTTAACTGTTAGCAATGTGTCAAATCTAGAGACTGTTCCTTATGTTTCTATCCAACATTAGCTTCAGGGTGAGTTCTCCCAAAATATAGCACTGAATAAAGGCTTTAGGGCTTGGTCCCAGGGACATGGACCAGGGAAGGGAAGAGAGGAACAGTGAGGTCTTTGCTTTGCTATCACAGGCTCCTCAAAGTGCTGAAAGCATGCTACTTTTTAATGCTATATGTAAGAGGGTCCATCAGCAATACTATGATAGAGTAAAATCCTTTAATATGGCCAAATCCTGGTCTCCTTACTCTGAGTTTTTATTCTGTTCTTACCCGGGTAGGATTTGCAATGAAAAATCAGTAATGCAATAATACTCATCACTACTTTTTGTGACATAGTCTGATACCTAAGATGAAGGCACGTTACAAAAGGAAATTGTTTTTCAGGAAGTCCAGACAGATGGAACAGGTTCACGTGTAGATGCTTAGATGCCATTTATGAGCCTTGTAGGTGGAAAAGGACCAAGCTTTTGCTGTTTTGCCCCTTGTGAAGTCTCCATTTCTAGGGAAGTTTACTCTGAAAATGCCTGTCTCCACAGGGAACAATCCCATATTTGGAGATCTGTTATGAACTGATGTCTGTTTAAAATACGTTGGACAAGTTGAATAGGAGTAACATGACTTTGATCAGAACAGAGCTCATAATTTTCACTACAAAGAGATTCTGCTAACTGTGTCGTGTCTTACAGTGTGCACAGATGAGGATGAGTCACAGATGATGAAAAACCCATTTAAAATCCCTTCAGATACTGATATCTTCCTATTAAGAGACAAGGAAAGAGAAAAAGCCAAGAAGGTATGTATAAAAAAAGAAATGAAGGAATGCATATAAAAGCTAAAGAAGGCTGTAATGCATTGCAAAGAAGATGACTGCATGCATAAAGCCTGAATAAAAATTAAATTGCTGTATAAAGGAACGTCATAGACCAGACTCTCAGCTGATGTAAAGCAATGTAGATTATCTGAAGCCAGCTGGAGCCTAGTGAAGTTAATGGAGCTAGGCTGACTCACATCAGCTGACAGTTTGGGGGACATTTAGTGGCTATTCTTACTAATATTGTTTCGGATGACTTCTTTCTTTTTCAGGCAAGTAATGGCAGATGGACCATTCCTGTCCCTGTTAAATAAAGCAGCTGCCATAGGCCCTTCTATTTCTGCAGCATTGATCCAGTTTCCCAGATCTCCCATTTTGAAGTCAACCAGGCACATCCCTTTCCTTGGACAGCCTGCATATTAGTGGTCAGTGCTAGCTTCTGAACCCTCAGCAAAACAAATGCTTTGGCTGGAAGGATAAATGAATTCAGGGCCCAAGGTCCCTGGAAGGGGAAAACACACCCTTCCCAAATACAGCTGGTGGTGGGAGTGGACCCAGTACCATGCTTTTTGACTCCTCACAATCTTGGAGGGCTTTTCTTATGGTTGCTAGAGGGGGAGGGCACTGAGTGAAGTTTCTGACAGCCCAGCTATAGCAGGACTGTTCCTTAAGGAACTGCTGACACAAGGCAATATGGTGGAAGCCACAGGCTTCTGCCTGTAGGTCCCTTGAATTTTGGTTGGTCCTAGAGATTAACTTCTTTTGGATGGAAGGACACACGTTATCCCAGTAATGGACAAATGAACAGGAGATTCTGCAAGTCCCCATTCTCCCACTCAGGAACAACCCACAAATGGAAACACAGGGGCACTGACCATGTTTAGACTGGTTAAAATACAGCACAAGGGAGGATCTACAGTAAGACTGTATAAGCTGAGGGCTGGAAATGCCAAGAAAAGAGATTAAGTGTTTTGGTTGCTCCAAGTATCCCTAGTAGTAATGGGAAGAAACTGAGATAATACACTTCAGCTGAATAGGGCAGAAAACCTAACGGTGAGATTTGCTACAGGGTAAAAATCTTGAGTTATTGAACTCTATTCTGGACAAAGTACTTGACAAGTATAAGGTGACCACTTAATTGAAGTCTCCCCATAGGAACGTCAGCGAAAAAAGACCATGAAAATCCATGAGAAGATGACCTACTCCAGTATGATGAATGTAAAACAATCAGAGTTCAAGAAACAGCTCCAGAAGGAAGAGGAGGAAGAGGACAGAGAACTGGCAGCAGAAACAGAGCGAATGAGAGCCCTCCAAGAAAGTCTCTCATGGAAGATAGCAGTGACCAAAGGTAGGAAATGCGCATGATGGACTAAAACAAAGCCACATAGGGAGAATGAGAGCTGCAAGGTTTCTTGTTTCTTGACCTCAGCACTGCTACCAGGGGAGCAAGTCATCACAGGCTTTGGCTTAGGGATCCCCAAGTCTCTGGGCTGTGAAAATCTTTCCACTGAGTTGTGATCTAGCAAAGTTGCACTTTACTGGACTTAAGGGCAAATCATAATCCTGATCCTGTGAAAGGTAATAGGAGATTTACCAGTGACTGACATAGGACCAGGATTTGGCTCTTCTGGAAGGGGGTGATGTTCCACTCTCTTATCAGTTTGATCCTGACATAAAGCTGACTTATCTGGGGAATGGGGCCCAAGAACTACACCTCCGCCTTCCTTGTTGCTTCACATACACCCTCAAGCCTCAACCTCTGCTTTTATGTGCTTTGCCTCCTTTTTTCTAAGCTTTGATGCTTAAATTCAGTGTTGAGCACAGATCTCAGTAACAAAAACTAAATGCCACAAAGGCTAAGAGCTCTGCTCTTTAAAGCAATTATCTGGATCTCTCAGCTTCAAAAAATTATCCTGGTTTTTCTGTCAGCTAAAAACACTCTGACCCCATTCGAGTGCTGAAAGGCTCCCACATCTTTGCTGGTCCTCTTGTCAAAGTCAAGGTCATTCAGCTCACTTTCTGCTACCTATCTCCTACCTGGTTTTCCCCTCCAGCAGACAAAGACCCCAAGCTTTGATATGACCTTGTCCAAAAGATACTGTATAATCAGGACTTCTTATTCAGGTCTCAAGCACAGACGTCTGCCCCATTAAAATAAGCCCCCATTGTGAAATACCGGTTTGCATTTACCCTGTTTGATCGCTGTGTTTTTTTGCCTTGACTCCATGGTCCCCCTCCCACACCCACAACTTTTCTTCCATCATTTCAGACCAGCAGGTGGAAAAAGAGAGCCTGCATGAATATATAAACAAGAAAAGAGAGATGTTTCGTATGCAGGTACTTGCCTCTAGTTTATAAATAAGATTTCATTGAAGCAACTATGCTGTGACCTCTTCTCTTGCATGTTTTTATGTTATATACGGCATTGCATAGTGCTTAGAAGAGGGAACTGGGGAGCTGGTCTCAGTGATTATGTTGGTTTTGTGGCTGATGCACAGTAGTGGGACTCAGCCCAAGACTTGCTGCATAGTCTTGCATAATTCACTTAATCTCTCATTGCTCCTCACCTGGAAAACAAAGTGCAGGGCAGCTGGGAGGATCAAATAATTAAAGTTTGTGAGAGACTCAGCTACTCAGACAGCACACCTAGACAGATAGGACCTGATACCTCATTGCTACTCCAGTGTCACATCACTGCAATTCAGCTAAAGCCAAGCGTGCTATCTAGTGGTTCAGGCAGGGAGCTGGGTTTTAGTTCTTCTGGGTTCTTTTTTTAGTTTTCCTGTTAATCTGCTATGTGACGCATTAAACACCTCCATGCCTCAGTCCGCCCACCGCAAGTGAGTGTCTGGAGGCAAAAGGCTCTTTGAAATCCTCAACAAAAGCTGCTATCGAAGTGTGGTTATTTCTGTGTTTGATGTCATAATGGCAACAGCAGCCAGAAAGGGACCAGCACTTTAAATAAACCAAGCTGAGCAGAGATTTGGAGTGAGTCACAAGGCTGTCTTTTTGGGTTGATTTCAGTACGCCATCGCAATAAAGAGAGATGAGATTCAGAAGCTGGAAAACCTAGCAGCTGAAGAGGAAGCAAAGCTGGAAAAGGCTGAACAGTACCTGGAGAAGGACGCTGCCATGTTTGATGATTTCCTGAAGGAGAATGATAAAAACTCCGCTCAGGCCCTGAAAATGTAACGCAAGTAATGGGACAGCCCTTGTGGTCTCTAGTAACCATGTCTGCACATGGAGTGGTCTCACAGGGAAGACTCCTGCCATACCAGTGTTCCCACTACCATCCGTGGGAGCTCGATATGTAGAGAGACTGCAGAGTCAAGCCCCCTTTTATGGGTACCACTGTTTCAGTTCCAGTCCTAGGCATTACACACAGGTCCTCCAAATTCAGACATCACACAGTAGATTGCTAAAATACTCCTTGCAGCATTCTGCCCATTACGTGCAATAAACTAAAGCTGTGGAAAGGAGGTGCAAATGGCATCAGCTGCTGCAGCCCACTTTGGAGTCCAATGGGGAGATTTAACACTCAGTGAAGGTCATGCTTCTACTGGTTCCCAGCTTGAGTTTTCCAGACAGAGTAGTCACCTGTGGTCACCTTCTTCCCAGCCAGCAGTACCAACTACCCTTTGTCACTGGGCTGGCCCTTACCTCCACCCATTGCAAAAATGGTAGACCAACCTCAGCCAAATTCCCAAGCAGATGTTCTTCACTCATGGACCTCTAACTAGGGTCACACTGGCTCAACACAGTACAAACTCTTAGAACCAGATCCTTTTCCACCTATTACATATCTGTTTCATACCTCCGTAATACTTCAGCACCCAAGTGTGATCCTATTCCACCTGAAAAACCCTGAATGTGTCCTACACTAAGTCTGTGAAAAATACTGTGTTCTAAGTCACCTGTCCCAGACCATGGTAAAGAAACATTTCTGTGGGAAATGGGTTGGAGGACAGACTTCTGCTTCTCTATCATCTCTTATAATACCACACTCAAAAAAATCATTTGGGACCTGAAATTCTTTCCATCTATCCCATAAAGGTGAATGGGGAGGAATATTGTTACCCTTCATTGACTGGAGCACTTAGCTGAGTTTGAGGCATTGCTTTCCATAGGGCGTTGCTTTGATGCAGTCTTGTTTATAAAGAGCATACAAAGTCCTGTTTCTCTGAGCACAGCATCAACTGAACCACATGTTTGTCCACTGTTCAAAGCCCCTTTCTGCCAGCACTCTGCTCAAAAATCTTTTGTTCTTTCTCCAAGATCTCCCCAAGACCACATGCTCAGTGCTTGTTCAGTTAGTGTCTGTTGCTCCCTTGTTTCCTTTTTTCCTTGTTCCTTTGGCCCATTCTTCCTCTACAAATGTCCACAAAACAATAGGCAGCAAAACGCCCCCTGTATAACTGTAAGAGGCTTTGTTTTGGAGGTGGCATGTGCCTGCGATTAGAGTGGGGGCTGCTGTTAATTTAGCTACGTGGTTCTATAAAGAAGCTTAACCTTTATTAATTAAAGGCAGCAGCTATGTCCAAATCGTAACAGTGTGAACAGTGCCCTGGGTGAAAATAGAAACTATTTCAATCCAGTAGACAAGAAGTATCATAGAAGTGTAGAGAACCTGAGAATGAAGCAGGCCACTGAAATCAGACTCTGCTCTTATTGTGACAACATTATTGGACACTATGAAGGATAAATGGAGGGCTTCAGTCCTCCTGGCCATCGGGATGAACTTTGTATGGTGTATTTTCAAATTTAAAGATTTCCTCATGCCCCTTTTATTTCCCCCCATTCACTACCCTTCTCCCCGTGCCCCTCTAGGACTCCTGTTCTCTGCATATTGCATGCTATTCCTGAGGTTGTTTTTGTGAATTCTTCATCCCTAGTGCTGAGAGAGAAACCAAAGCAAAGATGGATAAAATAATAGAGATCCGTGAGCTTACGGCACAAATGATGAACATTCAAAGGTAAGAGCCCAGGGGCCATTAGTGGGCATGTTTAACAAACCTTGTGCAACTCCATTCTGCGATACTGTCGGTGTCATCTGGAACTAAGTGCCGTGAGATACCAGCTACATAATGGAGCAATGCAAATAAGTTCATGTTGCAGCAACCTTTGATTGTGATGTAATCTCATCACAGTTGGATAATGCTGTCCTGACTACGCTATGTTCCTGTCCACTAAAAAAACAGTTGGGGCTTTAATGTTCTCCTCGATGACTGAGGTGCTTGCCCAATCCTTGTGCTGAGCCAAGCCCTTCCAATGATCCTAAAAAGAGTTACCAGACAGTGGGCCAATAATCAGTCGTGGTGTAAACTGGCACAGTCAGGCCTCATTGATGTGCTGGCTGATGGCAGTGTTGAAATGAGTTGGGCACACTTTATAAATAGTGAATTTGTCAGACAATGCAAGTATAGAGGGCAGCAGGATATTTGGGTTGAGTTTGACAGGGAAAAAAAAGAATGGGGAAAAATGTCAAACACATTGAAATGTTTCATTTCAGGAAAGAAATGTTTCTAAGGAAAAAGCTTCAACTTTTTTCTTCTGAAATGGTCTTTTCATTTCCAAATCAACCTAAATGTGAGCAATAAAGTCAAGTAACTCAGCAGTGATGTGAAACTGTTTGAGATCAAATAAAATGGTTTGGGTTGGCCCAAAAAGAAAATTTGGAGTTTGGCTATTGCACCAAGAAACCTAAAAGTTTCCATTTTGGGTAAACTTAAACTGATGGTTGGTTATGGCCAAACTGAAAACTCCATTCTTCCATATCACAGCAAAGCAAATTGATTCCTCTATGCTGGGATATGGCGCACAGAAAGAAGGTTCAGGCTTTTTTAAATAATGAAAGCATGGTAATAAGGTAACTAGTGTATCTGTTTTATAAAACTCCCATAGTACCTTCAGCCACCTTAGATAAGGTTATGGATAAGATTTGGGATGGATGCTGGAGATTGGCTTTACTTAAAAACTCTGGAGATAAGGCTCACCCTGACAAATTACAATCTGAGGTAAATCTTCACTTACTGGTGTATCAAAGTATTTGCATCCCAAAAGCTTGATGTTCAGCTGTGCAGTTTCATTAGCACATTTTGGATGTACATCAGTATTACTGAAAGCAAACCTGGCCCACACCCCTCACTGCCAGGCATGTTATTTATACAAGTTTTCCCTCGGACACAGTTGCTTGTTGATCTTTGCTAAAGACAAAGCAGCTAAATCAATGCACAAAGCTGCACATAACTGCTTGGAACATCTAGAGACATTTGCATCTTAATTCTTTTAAGTGCTCGAGTGCAAAGGCAAGCTCCCAAATAGGTTCACAACTGGGCAGCTAATAGATTTGCCAAGTTACATCTATTCTGCATGCAAACTGGGCATCATCATGTGCAAATGATCAGGTGTGCATCTAAGATGCTGAACAATCTTTCTGTGTAAGCACTGTAATAGGATGCGCAAATCTGGAATGTATTCACATCTGGAAATTATGGCCTTGATCTCCAAAGTCTCTGGGGGTGTTTCCCCAGTAGCTGAGCCTACTAGCTCAAGCTGAGCTTAGCTTAACTGTATTCTATTATCCATCATCTCCACTATAATTAAAGATGAGGCATTTCAGGATACCTGCACAGCACCTATACCTCTACTGGGTTTCTGTAGGTGCAGAGGTTAAATTGAAGCTGGGATAAGGAACCTGTCCTGCAGAACCAAGGGGACTGAGGTAAAACCTAATAGTTGTCATTATAGCTTGCAGCTCAGACTCTCCCTGCACTCAACAAGGGAGAGGGCGCTATTTGGATAAAATTGCTTTTCAGAAAGGTTTATCAGCACAGTCAAACATACCTCCTGCAATCCATTTGCTGCCTCTCTCTTAGTGAAATATCCAGGCTTGAAGACACTCTTCAGGAGTACATGATGTACAGGGATTTCCTCTACCAGCTGTCTCCAAAAGAATGGCAGGAAGAATATGAAAAGAAGCAGATGAAGAAGAGGGAGATGAAAATGGCCTCTAGGGCAAAAGAGGAAAACACTTCCACTTTGCCCCCTGTGCCCAAAGGTATGTGCCTCCAGGGAAAGAATCGGACTGATCCTTACTGTAGGCAGTTCCTCACTTCTAAGCATATGTCCCTCTTGTGTTTAGGCCGGGAGCTGACATCACAGTCCAAACAAGGCAGGTTTCCTACCACCAGCTCTGCAGAACGTCTGAGTGTTGATTTCTCTGCAGAGGAGCTCGAATTCAGGCCTCTAAGCCAGAGCCAGAGGAAGGAATCCATCAAGCAAGGCAAAATGCCTTCAAAGCAGAACCCCAAGCCTCCGTCAGCAAGACGGGTGTAAGTATGAGACACGCAGCAAAGGCATCGATCCTAAATCCAGTTGAGATCTAAATAGGATGAGAACAGACATAGGTACATGCAAGGCAGTGCTTATCCTTTGCTCGCTGTGCTTCTTGAAAAAGTGGTCTGGATTCAATCAACTCATCTGGAAATGTCAGTACAGCAAATCAAAATGCAAGGGGCTGGACCTTCAGTTGCTGTAGGTCCACTGAGTTCAGTGGAGCTATCCCCTTACTATCATCTGAGGGATCTGCCTGGAGCAGTAGTGCCCAACCTTTTTGACCCCACAGGCAAGATGAGTGGTGTGGGGTCCATCCATGAGCTGGATCCCATGCCGGGCCTGATCTGGCCATGTGCTGTCCTGATCTAGCCATGCCCCCACCTGATCCTGTGCACCAGGATCCGGCCACGTGCTGCTGCAGTCTGGAACAAGGGCCATGTTATCCAGTTGGTGGGACTCCACTCAGGTCCAGAAATCTGGCAGAAGGGGAGCAGTTATTAAGGCTGCTGCCACTCCCCCGCTGTCAAATTCCTAGACTCTTGGGGAGCCCTGTGGGATGGATGACATGGCTCTGTGGGCCAAGTCTGGCCCGTGTGGCTTGAGCAAACCTTAGAAAGCCTTCGCTTAAAGATCCTCTGCAATGCCACACCCATCTGCCAGCCCCTCTGCCAGGTGGCACAATACAAGGCTTCTCCCAGGCAGAAGATGAATGTAGATGCTCCAGTGCTGCCTTCTGGCTTCAACCAGAAGATGCAGCCATGCAGCCAGCAGAAGGACATGGAGTAGAAGTGCTGCACGCTGGCAAGCTGGGCTGTAGCTGCTGTCTGCTGCTACAAGAGACTCTGGCAAGGAAGTACAGTGACCCCAGACCTTAACACCACAGCGTAACTTCCCTCTGGGTAGAAGTGTTGCTCTCAACTGAACTGCCATTGCAGTCATTCACATCCTGTCTGGAAAGAAGCCCGGTGACTGTGGGACTGTCTTCCAGTCCCTCACCCACTCATGTCTCTGGGCAGAGTTGCACTGGGCAGCATGCACAGACTCCTTGCACTTGTTCAAGGATCACTGGGTGCTGGCCACTGTACTCTGCTTGGTGTACCCCCTCATAACACTCATTAACCTTTGACCTGTACTCCTAACCCTCTTTTCACATTTGCTGTCCCTGGAACCAGTTGCTGTGTTTCCAGTGGCCTCCCTAATTAAGGGAGGCTTATAGTTTTCTTGGTGGGCTCAGGCCCACCATACCTTGGCACAACAATAGGCCAGTATGGAAAGAAGTTTCACTAGGTCTGAATTCACTGCAATAGCATCCTCTCTATTTACTTTTACCAGGCATTAGACTCAATTAATTAAGGTTGTAATCAACCTATAGAGGGATCAGGCAGAAGATCCCTGTAACAGGTGTTGCTAAGTACTGCCTTTGTAATCACGGTGATTTAGTAGCAGCGGCAAGTGGGAGAAGAAGACAAGGTTGACTCTAAAGGAGGCAGCCGCCTAAGCGACTGGTGGGGGTTTGTAGGTCTCTTTGTGCGGGAAAACCATGACTTTAGCGCCCCACTAATAACAGATTGCTAGCTGAATTTTTTCTTTGAGGGGCTGTTGCTTTTCATTGGGATTACTTCCAAGTAGGAACAAGGGAGCCTGTTCCAGTACTACTTGCTGGTGGCTACAGGATCACAACCAAAGTTATCTCATTAGCCAAACTTTAAGTCATTCCATTTATCCCCAGGCCTCAGGATATGGGGATTAAAGATACACACGCAATAGCCTTAGTTGCGTGGGGACCCCACTGTTTAGGAAAGGTGCTCTGAGCCTGTGGGAAGCTAAAGCACAGGGCTACTGCATACCACACATTTGACCAGTGGTCCTTCACATGAACCAGTAAGGGCCATTACATAGGGCATAGCTCATCCAGCAAATTCAGACCCAGACTCCCTTCAAGTTCAGGGCTGTACAGACCTGTGCTTTTGGTTCTGGCTTGCTTCTGCTATTGCAACACTCATGGAAAGGCCTTGCAACAATCAAATAGACCCCAGACTATTTAGACTATAAATACTTTGGGCGGGGGCCATGTCTGTATACAGCCTATTACAACACAACCCTATCTGTGAGCAGGATTGCCAGAGGGGCTATTGCCATATGAATATTTAACAGGAGAACCCAATCCTGTAAACATTTAAAGCACTATTTAGAAGCAAATATGGGTAGGTATTATGCATTAGAAATGGAAATAGCCTGCTATTTACAGCTAAAAACCAGAGGTTGTTTGCAGTTGTTATTAGGTAGCAGCTGTAGTCATAATATACTTGCTGACAAGACCTCCTGCTTTATGACAAGACCTTCTCCTCTTTAAGTGCCTGACACCAGAAATCTGTTCACAGGAGTGAGACAGCTTCACTAAAGATGGAGAAAGCAGATCCAGTCTATTCTGATGATGAGGATGAAGATGAGGTCAGTAGCCTTGTACTGAATGACTCGGCTATAAGATTTGTCTTCCCATCCTTTCCTTCACTTAGTATTCAGGTTTCCTATGCCTTCTTGCTATTGCTCATTCAATCTAAAGATTTCCTTGTAAGATCGAGCCTGTTCCCTTATCAGATGTCTAGATTCCTTAGCAATGAACATCATTTAAATCCCAGGACACAGAGAATATTTTATTTCCTCTGTTTGGTGGGGGAGGGGGGCACAAGTTTGTTAAGTGATGTATTTTGTCTGATGTTGAAGTTTTGTAAAAGACTATAGATTCAGGTGGCATCCGCTCCATTTAATTTCCCAAAAAATGAATAACCTCTTCCTTCCCCACACCATTTATGTTGTGAACCAAGGAAAATGCCACGAGGGCAAGCTCTTGGAAAACAAAAAAACTAATGACAACACCCAGTGAAATGCAGAAAAGAAAATACAGAGCATAAATAATGCAAGTGAACTTCTAAAAATCCCCATCATTGTTAAAATAAAGGATTTTAAAGGAGCTCTTTCTTCCGAAAGCAATCTATTTAAGGCCAGAAATATCCAAACCAGCATCAGCTGCAATTATGCATGCAAACTTGAGTGCTGTACGAATGACTTTTCAGGCATCTCCATGGCTATTTATGCCAGTTTGAAACCAGCTGCTACCAATATGCTTCTACTTTTTTGACCTCTCTGTGCATACTGACATCTGGAGAGGTAGTTAAGGGGGGGAAGGAGTCCTCCCGCTGAGAGAGGATGGTATTATGGGTTCTTACCGAGTCCCGCGTGAGACTACGCTTGGCTCATACCCGTCTCATCCAGGTTCTTCTTTTTGCCTCTCTCCAAGTACTCAGATGCTTTGGTGAGTGAACAGCTTTAGCCAGTTGATCATCTGGCCAAAGCAGAAAGTCCTTCCTGTAGGGTGCAAAACAAGACCAGTAAAACTGGAAAGATCCAGAATTTTCCACCCAGGCTCTTTACTGGGATGCAGCCCTCCCCGAGGACCTGGCCATCATCCATTTCTACTCCTTCCCCCATTCGCAGGGGTTTCCAACCCACCCTCCAGTCACATCGTGATGGAGCCCAGGACTTCTCCACGCTGTAGGGTCCACCTGGGATCCCAGGCTACAGACAACCCTCAGCCCTGCTTCTCTTCTCAGCCATTTTCTACTGGACACTCAGGTCTCCGGGCCTTGATCCTGCCTCTTCCCAGGACTGAACTGCTGCTCTTTTCCCAACCGATGTGCTTGGGCTCCTGTGAATAAGACTAGCTCAGGTTTTGCCTCTGACCTGGTTTGTCTCCTACTAAAAAGCTTTCTACAGAGAAATTGGTAGCAGCTGAGTTACCCCCCTGTATGGATACCCCTTTGCTCTAATATTGCTTACTCCCATTTAAGTCTGTTCCCAGGCAACTGGACTGGGAATTGGAACCAAATAAAACCCTTTGGCATTACTTCAATTACATTTAATTAAAAGGAAATCACTTATTTAGTTAAACCAAGATAGATAGGCCATGAGAAATGGCTCTTTACGGCAGGCTCTACTTTGTGATAGACTCGCCTGCCTCTTCTTGGTCATGTGGCTCAATTGAGACTACATATCCCAGAATCCTTCAATTTACAAGGAGTTGAGCCCTAACTGGGCTGCTTGGATCCACTTAATGGAGCAGACTGCCCTGTTACAGGGGAAAAGGGAAGAAAGAAGTGCTAGAAACAGCCTAGCCATAGGTGGTTGGAGACCAAGTCTTGTCACATCCCCTCTGAAGTGCCCGCAACCCCCTCCGCTCCCACTGGCCCAAAGCGCTGCAAGGCTGACTTGGGGCTAGGAAGTGGAGAGTCTTGATTCCCAGGGAAGAGGGAACAAGCCTGGGAAGAAGTCTTGCCGGCTAAGCACTGTGGCATTGGTGGCTTAGGATGATGTAAGGTGCTAAGTGCAGATGTTCAGCTAGAGGGAGCCACAAGCAATCATGGTCCTGTGGGTACCAGAAGGTTTGACCCAATACAAATAACACAGCAAAGGACTCAGAGCAGAACAACTGCTCCAGCTGGTGTAAGATGCTGCCGCTAGGCATTTCCTCTCCACTGTGACCCCACACCCTGCCTTCCTTCCCACAGAGCCCATCCTGCCCCTTACAGCATCACATTCAACCTCCTCCACACCCCCTCTAGATACCCTGCTCTTCCTAGTCCCCTCTCCTTACCCCTCTTTCTCTGCCCTCCCTCCTCCTCAGCTTTGTGCCTTCTATTATGCTACTGATCCTGGGGCACAGTGAGACCAGGCAGCCACTCTCTCTCCTACATTTAATAAAGCTCCAAAGAGAAAAAGAAAGGCTCATGACACTGTTCCTGTGTTGTCAAGGTACAGCAGGTCTAGAAGGCCCACATGTACCAAATTAATATCTGTAATACTCCTCCACAACAGACACCTCTGCTTCCAGCGACCCTTCCTCCCATCTATGCAATATGAAAAACTTCCATGCTATTCCTCCCCTGAACCACTCCCCACATCTTGCTTTCTTTTATTTATCATGTAAGCTCTTCGGGGTAGACAACATGTCTGAATCACCCTGTGTACATGCTGTGTGATTTACTATGCTGGGTAATAACTGTGCATAGAAGATACAGTCTTTAGCCCAAACTGCTGCATCCAGGTTGTTAATTGCTAGGAAGCTAGATACACTAAAGGAGCCAATATTCTTTATTTACCTTCCCAGGCACCAGAGCTGTATTTTACAGATCCAAAGCAGCTGCTGAACATCTTCACTGAGCTGGAAGAGCAGAACCTGTCCCTTATCCAGAATTCCCGGGAGACCGAGGAAACTCTAGATGAACTGAAGCATGCTCTCACCACGACACAAAATAAAATGTAAGTAGATGAAGGACTCTGCATGCACTTCAGCTGTGGAATCTCCCCTTAACACACAGATCGTAGTGCTCAAGATCATAGACGACCACTACATGGTCCGTGCAGTACAGAATTAAGGAAGAGTCTCTTGCTTATTGTGCATTGCTCAGATGAACTGTGTTCACCATGCCACTCTTGAGCTAGTGGGTTTGGAGGGGGCAAGTTGTGGAGAGCGGTCTGTCAATGAGCAGGAAGTCTGGCTTCAGATTTGATTTGGGCTGTTGATCCTCAAGCTACTGTTGGAAGGAGAGCTGGGGTCTTGGGTGGAGAAGGTGAACAAGTCAACTTTGTCTCACTCTAGAAGCAACACCTGATGATCAGTCAAATAAAGCACAAAGGTATTTGCCCAATGGTCTGAGCTGGAATAAACCCCAGCATTGACTGTCATTTAAATTAGAATCTTCTTCAGGGGAAATCACCAGAAAACCCACTTCCAATTGGATCAAAGCCTTGCCATGGTAGGAGGCCAACATAGTGACTTAAGCGCATTTTTAGCTTGTTGTAAATATATGTAAATAGGAATCTACATTCTGTCTTAATTTATTGACGTTCAAAAGGTTTCAGACATTTAATAACAAACCCCTGCAGTAAATGCCAATCCAGAAAGCCAGAATCTTCTTCTAGCTCTTGGAGATTAGAACTAATCTAAGCATAATCCGCAAACCAGAAGGGAGTAATGCCATGAAAGCATGAGGCTCCATCTTCCGGTAGGAGGGAGTATAGCCATCACCTCCACCAACCCTGGAGGAAAGCTGTGTCCAAGTTGCACCCTTTTGAGACCTGGCTCCTTTCTTTCTGGATTAGGGGCCGAGAGATAGCTCAGCTAGAGCAGCTTGAAGTTACCCTGAAAGCCTCCATTGCCAAAGAAGAGGAGACAGCAAAAGACCTGGCAATCAAGGCTCAAGTCTTTTCCTTTGGAGAGTTCAAATCAGAGTTTCAGGTATGTGTGGAGATTAAGATCTGAGCCTATATGAGACTGGTGAGACACGTCTGGGAAAAGCCTCACCTTGCTGTTTCCCATGACAAAGCTGGCCTATGCAATACATTTCCTGGGGTGAGAGGTTAGCACCCTTCCTTACATGCACATTTTGTACCTAGAAGTTCAAAGTATGAACACACGAGACAAAGAATTGAAGTTTACCAATGGAATTAAAATTATTTAGCTGATTATACTAGGGAGGTCCTTAGCTGGTATACCCATCCCAACTCCAATAGAGGGGGCTGGGTTGGCATGGGTGCTTAGACACACAGTTGACATCCCAGAGGTTGCACGTTCCAGGCCATAACAGAAGTGCTCACAGCACGGCCATGTCAGATTCCAGTGAACCTCCAAATTCTGCTAAATACCTTGTCACAAGGACACGAAAAGGAAGGAAGGAACTTCAATGGAGCTGAAAGAGTTTACACCAGCCAAAGCCTTTCCCCCTGGTCTTTATAGGAAAAAATGTTGGCAAGTCTGAGCAAAAAAGTGCTGGAAGTCTATCGACGTTGTATTGGAGAAAATGACGCCAATCTGGGAACCCTGCAGATGCTAACCGTCATAGAGCACCAACTGGATGACCTACTGGAGTGCCTGGAGAGAGTCCCACAAGCAAAGATAGAACAGGCTGAGAAAATCAAAGAAAAGGAGCGGAGAATGAGGTAAGAGGAAATGCTACCCCAAAACTGGCATTGCTTCTGTCTGGGCACCATCACTTTGCCATTCTATTTTAGTTTGAACAGCATCTTTGAAACTCCAAAGATAAAAATAAAAGTCAGGGAAACTGCTCCCACATGTCAAAACAGACTGAGGGTGCACAACAGAAGTCCATCTATTACTAATAAATTGTTGGTAGCACTCAAGTGATGTAGCTGTGAGGCAAGGATTTTTTTGGAATATCTTTTATTGGACTGATTGCATGGTTGGAGTAAAATTGGACCAGCTTTCAAATGCAATTCCTTGTCCAACTTTACCCCAGCCATGCAGTTGGTCCAGGTAAAAGATATCACCCAAAAAATCCTTGTGTCTCAGTAAGTTATGATGATCTACAATTCTAAGAGAGAAAACTATAAATAAAGATAGCAGTAGCTAACTTAAAGCTGATCAAACAGAAAAGAATTATTCTGTTGTTTCACCTCTATTTCCATGTTGGTAAGATAAAGGAAGGATTGCTGTACAAGGACTTCTCTGTACTATAGTGCTCAGGGAATTCTGCAGCACTGGCAAACTGAAATATTTTTGCTTTGACAAAGCCCCATATACCTAGCTCCATTTCCTACACAGCACATGTGCACATATAAAAATGCACACTCATAAGATGAGGTGTGTGCTTATTGACTTCATAGATTTCTAGGGTCAGAAGGGACCTATTAGATCACAGAGTCCCACCCCCTGCCCTGAGCAGGAAAGAGCACTGGAGTCAAGTAACCCCAGCTTGGTGCTTGTCTAATCTCCTTTTGAACACCTCCAAGGTATGGGAAAGCACCACCTCCCTTGGAAGCCTATTCCATATTTTGGCAACCCTCAGCATAAAAAATTTCTTCCTGATGTCCCATCGAAATCTGCTCTCCTTCAGTTTATGGCTGTTGTTTCTAGCAACCCTGAGGGAAACCCTGGTAAACAGAGTATGCCCTATTCCCTGCTGACCCCCCTGATGAGTTTATAGACAGCCATGGGATCACCTCTCAGCCTTCTCTTGCAGAGGCTGAAGAGATTCAGGTCCCTCAATCTGTCTTCATAAGATCTTACCTGCAGGCCCTCAACTATACACGTAGCCCTCCTCTGAACCCTTTCCAGGTTATCCACATCCCTCTTGAAGTGTGGTGCCCAAAACTGGATGCAGTACTCCAGCTGCAGCCTCACCAATGCAACATAGAAGGGAAGTATCACTTCCCTAGACCTGCTCGTAACGCACCTACTAATGCACCTTACCTCATCACATTGGCGACTCGTTCATTTTTGTGTTGACTATGACTCCAAGATCCCTTTCCACTGCTGTGCTACTTAGAATGGTACTTCCCAATCTGTAGGTGTATTGATGATTCCTTCTCCCCAGGTGCAGCACTTTGCACTTAACTTTGTTAAATTGCATCCTATTCTGATCCACCCACTTCCTCAGTCTATCCAGATCCACCTGAATTCACTTCCTACCCTCTAGTGTGTTTCCTATACCCCATAGCTTGATGAAATGCTGTAGGCCAATGACAATTCATAGTGCAAGCAGCACACTAGTAATCAGATCATGGACTATATGAAGACACAGTTAGGTGAGTCAGTTCTATCACAAATACAATGGAAAGGGTGGGAAAGGTATAATTTAAGCATCATATTCCCTGTATCTGCTTCTCCTCTTTTTCTCACCTACTCAAAATTCAAAGGTTGCTCTGATGCCTCCTTTTGCTATTTTGCAGGGCTATCCAGGAAATTAGTTTGCATTCTCCCAAATAGCCATCTACCCAACCCTGCTGAAAAGCAAAATGTCAGGAAATGAAGTTACCCAAAATGAAAGAATTTAAAACTAGATAGCATTTCAAGAAAATATCGAGAAACAAAAATGCATTGGCTTCCTTTCCACTGTAGTTGAGTATATAAGGAAGGAAGCCCACTTTGGTACATGAGGCAAAGCAGGCTGCTAAAGATTACCACTTGACAAATTCAATGTTTTACTTCCATAGAGCTTATTAGAAGCATTTTTCTATTGATTTGCACTTGGGTAGTCATTTACATCATAGGATATCAAAGCCAACTATTTGGTAGCATTTTGCACTCATGATAAGAAAAAAGCACCAGTTACAAGATAAGCACTTAACATCCCACAAAGTATCATTAGCCCTATTTTAGGGTGCAAATGCCTTGTTGAAGATGCAACAAGTCAGTGATGGATCCAGAAACAGAACTGTGCTTACCTGCTAAGTCTACTTCTACACTTCTCCATTTAAGCATTCTTTGGGCAGGGGGGAATCAATTGTACTCAAGTGCATTCCGTTTAGAGTTACAGAACTGCTCTCAGAGCTAAATGGAGCACTCCCTGCATTAGAAGTTGGGCTTGTGCCTTTGTCTTTCTTACTGGAAATCTGGATACAAAAAATTCAGTTCTGCTTAGTTCTGCCTATCGCTACCTTATGTGCTTTGCTCAACTCTTCCAAAAGGCTCAGGGATGAAAAAATAAAACAACAGAGGCAGCTGCAGGAGGAGAGGATACAGCGGGCGCTGGCAAGAGCACAAGCTGATATAAAGAAAAAGGTAATCCAGCAACTCCTTTCTACTGGAGTGGAATCCATAGGAAAATAAGCTCCTTGGTTCACAAACAATTCACAATTGCCCTTATGATACAAGCTGAGATGCTTGGCCAAAGCTGTATAATGATTAGGGGGCCTGGAATAGCAAAAGAAAACCTCAGCTATCCTTCCAAGGGTACCTCAAGCCCTGGTACTGGTGCCAGAGAAGAACAGGAAGATCTGTCATAATTTGCCTGAATTAAGTTTACACCTAAGGCTGTCCCAGACCTGAAAGCAGCTCAGGAGGGCCACCTTCGCCCTGCTGCTGTTCCTGGGCTGCCCTGCCTTGACCTGCACCTCAGAACCATAGAACAGGATCTCTGCCTGCCACTGGAGTTCTACCTGCTTGGTACCTCTGAAAAGTCATGTCATTATGAATACAACTGTATAACAGAAAGGCAAGCCTGTACCCATTTTTTTGAGCATGGTTAAACTGTGATAACTTGTTCAAGGTCATGTGCTTAAAAAAAAATAAAAAAGTCACAGGAGAACGAGAATAAAGCAGATGCTTTGGATCCAATTATTCTTCAATTAGTGAAGAATAACCACTGAAGTGCTCTACATGCTTCACCAGCACTTCCTTTCACCATTTAAAGCAGGAAGGGATAGATAAGGTTTTAGTTGGACTATTTTTAATGCAAATGCTAAAAATCCTGAAGTGCAGGAACTTGGTACAAGCCCAGAAAAACAGACAAGGACAACAAACCAGTACAGCCCTGAGCCAGCCTAAGAGCAGATTTCATTAGCAAAAATTGACACTAAGGCAATAGAGGGACCAATGGAAGTTTTTATTCAGAAACCAGGGGGTGCTGTCCGTTCTTAAAGGGAAACCTTAAATTGTTGCAGCAGAACATGTCTTTAAACAATCTGTACTTGTGCCCGAAGTATTTGCTTTAATAAGCACTGACATGCTTTTTTGTTTCTTTGCAGACTGGCCGAAGACTGGTGTTTCGTTCTGAGCCTCCCCCCATCAAAGAAAAGGAAGATGAGAATCAAGGGCTAATAGATCAAGAGAAGGAAGAGGCTCTCTACTACTTCACTTAATTTCTCAAATAAGATTAGGACAAGTAGATGAGAACCAGTTGTGCCAAACAGAATGTTTTTTAGTTGTATTTCAGGGCAATCTCACGATAAAACTTGTGCTTTTCAAATTACATGGAAACTTTGCAATAAAAGATTCTTCATTTTTGCTAACCCCATCGCCCCAGATGAGTACTGTTTTCATTGAAGCCAAACAATGTTGCTTTAAGTAACTGTTTACCAAGGAAAATAAAACTAAAGCAACTCCTATTTTGCATCTGGGCCTTCTGTCAGCAAAAAGATTTTTCATAAAAGTTACTCAAGCCAGTAGCAAGATCCTGGAAACTTGGGAAATAAGATTTATTATAGTCGGATGACATCTTAGTTATGGCAAGACAAAGCTAGACTCCAGCCAGATGTTTGTTACAAACCTCATGCCTATGAGAAAGTATAAAAACAAAGGCAATACCCCCTCCCAGGAGGGGAAGTTTTTGGGCTGCATGAGGAATTCCACCCCATTAGTACTGAGCCTTCAATAGTCCAGAGGGGACAAAGAACAAGCACTGCAGAGGGAGAAAGCTATCATGTATTTTTTTTTGTGTGAAAGCCTATCTGCAAGAGATGTAGTTGCTTATTATCAAGAACAAGCCCAATGACAAACTGACCATAAAAAAAGCTTTATTAATCCTTTTTTTGCACCAGCAGCTCTTCAGGTGTCCATTGCCAGCAACGGACTTCAAGCCGACTGATCCAATTCTCGGCCCCAAGCAGTTAGCAATTTACATTCACTTACAAAGCCAAGTGAGGTACATTTTCAGAAGTAGAAACAGAGTCAGTTATAAGTCCCATAAAAAGATGGAGTGGTTCCTTGGCCATTTTCTTAACTTAAGAAGAACTCGTATGGTCCACGAGAATGGAAGGATCAACAGGTGTTAAGAGAGTTCAAGCAACTCAGCTTCCGGGGACAACGTGGAAACTGTTCTAAAGCAAGACCCAGTAACCCCTTCAATGGTGCCGTGTTCCTGCAGCTGACTCATCATTCCCTTTGCCTCTCAAGACTGGACTCCATGATGCAAAAAAATACAACAGTCAATGGGTGGGTCAAGATTTCCACAACAGCTCACTGCCCTGGAAACCCCACCTGAGGGAAGTAAGAAGTCCCCCTGGGCATGAGCTGTGAATTCGAGAGAAATAGAAATAGGTAGAGCCAGTGGTCAAATAGTTAAGCTCAAGATAGAAAAATAAAACTGGTTCAACCAGAGGATAAAATACTGCCTAAAAATCAGAGTCTGAAGTGAGAGTAACCTGTATACTGCTTTCAAGTTTCAGAAACAAAACAAGTATTCATCTGGACACATACATAGTTCAAAAGGCACAGGAAGTAAAAGCATTTCTGAATGACCTTGAGTGAATTCAACAACTGTATAACTGTAAAATAAATAAATATGTGCAAGATTAGAAAGATCACTTTTTCTGCATGACATATCTTACTCTGTAAAAAATATACACATGTGCACGCACGCACCTCATTGAAGAATAAAAAAAAAAAAACACATACACACACCCCTTTAGCAAACTCCTATACATAATTTTATAGGCATTCAGTACATCACCATTAGAAACATTTAAGTTACTACCTTAAAACTGCACCAAAGATTTTTTGTTTTTCCAAATGAAACTCTATACAACTCTATGCTTATTTGGGTTTAGGAAATTCAGTTAAGTACAGTACAGACAACCATTTTTCTAGTAACTGTAATTTTTCAAATGAGGCAATTCTTCCCTCCATCTTAAAAAAAAGTCTACCTGGCAAGTGCATGATCAGTAAGCCAGCTGGAAGCTCGGTGTTCACTAGATATTCTGGATTTCATTGAAGATCAAGTAGTAACACAAAAATACAGTGAAAAAGATAGTGGACAGTTTATCAGTAAGTTGGCAACAGTTTTTGTATTGGACATAATCACAGTGCTTGGAAACAAGCATAACTAACGTCTGTCAGACACTGCTGGAACTTTAGCTTATTTGTTTATTTGTTATAGTGACTGCAGGTTTATTGCAAAGCTTTCCTTTTTGGGTTTTGCTGGAAGAATTCAGCAAAATATTATTTTGGGTGTAAAAGGAGTAAGGAGATGGGGAACTCAACATGAGCTAAGTTAACATTCATCCTATATTTTTCTAAACAAGTGTTTTTAAAACATGTAATTTCCAGGATATTTGGACACTATACTTCTTAGATTTATTTGCTTTGTAAAATACTTTTATTCCAGTTTGTTGTCAACACAAGAAACAAGAGTCCTGGGAGGTTTTTTTGGGGGACGGGGGGAAGGAAACCAACTTCAGGACTAACTCTGAATACTTCCTGTTCACCCTATTTCCAGTTAGAGAGAGCTTTCCCCAATAGAGAAAGAGGTCAAAACTGGTCATAGGCAAGATTTTAAACTTACATGTGTTCATTAGCTGTGCAATGCCTGCTTTCCCAGGAAAGCAATGGATATCACCACAGTTAGAACAGTTATGGCACTTCTCCTCTATAACATTATTAAAAAAAAAATCTGCCCCCAGTGTCTTTCTGATCTCAAGACAGAAAAGATATCTTACACAGGCACATCAAGTAGGATTTACTGAATTTTTCCCCATCTTTCAATTCTAACCAAACTGCAAAAAGGATGTTATCAATCAGGTATTCCTATTTTCCATATCTTCTCTGAAAACCTCTAACAACCTATTTTCACTTTGTTAAGACATGATTGCACCATTTGTTTTAAAATGAATATTCCCAACAGTCATTCCAGGTCCTGTAAATTAATTGTGCTTCCAGTGAACTGAGAATTATCAGAACCTGCATCATCTTCTGTTGAGTTGTGTGGCTCCTGTGAAAGAAGATAAATACTGTCAGAGAACCGAGACAAGAATTTTCACCACAAAAGAAATGGTGAAAGCTACATAATGTTTTTGTATGTTTTTATATTCAAACAATATCGGATTGACCAAAAAGGCAAATGAAATAATTCAGAGTGGGACCGCTTTTGGGACTCACCCTGAAGTGATTGCTGTTACAATGCTGGGAGGGAGAGGGGTGTTGATAACTGTGGTTTTTCCCCTAGTAGAGGGAGCATGCATGTTTGATTTCACTTCCATGGGGCAGCATAGTGGACCAGAAAAAAAAAAAACGCAGCAGCACCTGGAAAAACAACTGCCAATGGCATCCCAAAGTGTTGGCCTAATACACAAGGCAATCTTAGCCACAGTTCCAGCAGCTATGTCCTCTTGTTGCAACCCAGCTAGGGGCTACTGATTTAAGCGTTGGTGTGAAAGTAGTAAGCGCTTTTAGAGTGCTGACAGAGGTGGAAGAAAGACACAAAACACAACAAAACGTGCTTTACCAGAAGCAGTGAGTTGTTAGTTTAATCCAGCTCTGCAGTGTCTGTATAAATCAGCACTTCAGCAGGTATTTTTGGCACTTTTTGACTGAATCAGCTATTGGATAAAAGGGCCATAAAAGTCCTACAGAAATGCCCGACCTATACAGATGTTGGGCAAGCTGGGTCCAACTAACACAATGCCTCTTCTGGGCATGTGCTGGGCTTGGCATGGGGGTGCATAGAGGTTAAAGCACCATTCTGGGGAGGAGGGTTGTGCCAGTAAGCAGCCTTATTGTTAAGCAGCCTTATTGTGCCAGACTGAAGAGATGGTTGTAAACTCTTTTCTTTCCAAGAAAGACAGAAAAGGAACCAATGTTCCACACTGTTATACCTGCAGTATATGAACAGGCAAGTCTACTGTAAGCTGAGAATGTGATGTGGAGGACTGAGAGCTGAGCTGGAAGGGCAAGTCCCCTTCTCCTGGGGAATCATCCTGTAAAGGGAAAAAAGGACAAAGCAAGTATGAAACTTTGAACAGCCTCACAAAGCAAATCACAAAGCAAACTTCACTGCTGTCACTTTAGCCCCTTTAAAAACCAAGTTCAGGAAAGGCAAGTGCCTCATTGGCTAAACATTATGCATCTAAAGATACCCAAGATTTCAAAACTGAAAAGGTCTAAGAATGACTCAAAAAAAAAAAAGGTGAACCACTCACCTCATATTCAGTAACAGGTTGGAAACTGAAGGCTTTTACATACCCTTTCCAAAAAGACTATATTTACTATTACATTTACACATGTTCACTCCCAATACCAGTTTGCTGCAGACGCAGCGGTCACCTGCCTGTGGCCCTCCTCCCCACTCCATGAGAGAGGGAGGAAAAGACGACAAAAAAAAAAAAGGAAGAGTTTTCCACATGGCCTGCTCCATGCCTCGTTAGGAAGCATTCTTCCATAACTATGTTTATAAAGTTTTTAATATCAATCTTAAGCAACAGTTATAGCATGCTGTTATAGCCATGAGATTCCTGCCTCAATGCAGGGAAGACCGTTCTCCCTTATCTAAACAGTGGCTTAATATTTTGTTTTCTCCTTACCCATTATGCAGCCGCCACCCTACTTAGCACCACATAACTCAAGACTTGCTCCTGAAGATGGAATAATTTGATTACAGGCAGTTCTTTTACTGAAGTTCAGTAGATACAGTGAAGAGAGCAGTGTTCCCCTTCCCCAACTTGTTCTTACTTCAAGTGCTTCCCAAAGACCTGTTCTCTTGGGGCTGCTCTTGCCCCTAAGCACTATTTCTCCAGGGCCTCTCCTCCAGTGCAGCTACTCCTGCAATTTCTCAATACTGCCTTTGGCCTAAAGTCTCCCTGTGCTACACTGCTTTATGCTGCCTGCTGCTCCCTGTCCTTCAAGTCTGGGCTTCCCCAATCACCCATCTCTCTCTCTTTCAGACTCCCCAGCAACTTATCTGCATCACTCACTGCGACTGCTCAGCATAGCTTTCTAGAAGTAACATTTACAGATTCTACTTTGTACTGAAGCAGGTATTCCTAAGAAACTAAGCAGAGGTGGATTTAAGTGCATGCTCATTGGGTGCGTCTACATGAGACGCTTACTGCACATTAGCCTAATAATACTGCACAGTAGCATGGTGGTTAAAAACTATGCTAATAGCCTACTGCACAGTGTTATTAGGCTAATGCACAGCTAGAGTCACAAAATAACTCTAGTTATTACGCATTTAGTTAGTACCTTCTTAAGCAAGCACAGAACTAAGTGCACAGTATCTAAGGTGCATTAACCAACATACAGACGTGCCCACATAGGAGGAATCCCCAAATAAGTGCTTATACAGGGGATCCTACACAAGCTTAAACTGGCTCTATTCAGTTCAGTTCCTTCTACAACTATTTCTAAAGAGGCCTGTTATTACTGACTAGATGTTAAGGAATGCCCACTCTCTTTTCAGGAGCATAAAAACATTCCTTTTAGGCAACAACCCTGAATTACATCAATGCATTTTTATGGAATGTCAAGATGTATAGTGACTAATCAAATGTTAGCAGACATTATCAGATGTTAAAACACAATTAAAATCTCCTAATCAAGTCCCAGTATATATAGAGCTAGGTAGGTTATGTTATGTTTTATTCACGTGTTCTTACCTGAAGTAACTGAATTTGCACGTACTGTGCTCCAGTGGCTGGGTCCCTCATTGTTAAGCCTCCATTTGGCAAAACAACATTGCCTCCCATTCGACTGCCATGACTGGAAGACGAGAAGTTGGTAGGACTAACTTTGCCACTTTTACTTTTCCTCTGGCTAGAGTTTGCTGCCCCTGAAAGAAAAGTTATAATGTTTAATATTGATATTGGGTAGTCTAGTTCATTTGGACGGTCTCTCACTGGGACTTCTCCACTTCTGGTTATTTGGGCTGTGACATTACTGAATGCTAATACGTCTACAGTACTTCACTTTGCATGTTCCTAGTACACAAATTGCTAAGTATTAGAACACAACTACTACAGCAAGATGATAGTCAATTAGCTTATGAATTTTGACTGCTGGAGTGAGCAAGCACCATTCTCACCCTGAGAAAAAGCAACTCTCTTTAACAGGAACTCCATCTGGCTTCTCTGAACTTGGCATTAAAAGTAGTCACCATGCTAATAATGTCAAAGCAACAGCATTTTCTGGAGTTAGAAGATGAACTGGGAACTGGAAATAAAATTTGGGCTTCCCAACTCTGCAATCAATTGCCTGAGTGACTGTGGTCAAATCATATACATAAGTTTCTTAATCTAGAATATACAAACCATAAAGCTTCTCCTCTGGAAAACACTTTAAAACTGTTGGATGGAAGTATAAAGTCCTCATTTACTCACGATACGGGCAGTCACTAATAACTAGAGCTGGCTCAGAAGCAGGGTTTCTAGTTTGCAGGGGAATTTAGTGTGGTTTTCATCCAAATCAGATCAAAAACAAGTGTTGAGGTGTCTGCAGAACAAGCAGCTTGTGGAACCCTGCAGTTGCTCAGTAAAATTGAATCACTTTCCAGCTTCGCTACTACTGCATTTTCTCACATACCACACACCTCCAAGTAAAACACGCACCTTACTTTTAGAAGGCAGAATGTAGAAAAAAAGATTTTTCCAGAGTCATGGCCGACTGTGTGACAGAGTAAGTCCTCCTGCAAACAGAGGGTCCAGAAAGTGTGGATCCCAGGAGACAGTCTGGGTGAGGCAGCAGGAACTTCCTGGTGTGGCAGGTCAGTAAGAAGGCTAGGCCCCAGACCCTTGCAAGGGCAGTAGTAAGACTGTTACTTCTTTACTGTAAATAGTTCTTTATAAGTTCCTGTAAATAATAAAGTGTTGTTTCCACACCACAAGGCTCATCAAGACTGCATGCAGCAGTTCACTCACCCTCAGCCAGTTCAGTGGCTCTTCAGCCAAAAGCTACTGCTTCACCAGCAGCTCTGAGAGGGTTAACACTGGACTCTACCTCTGCTGTCTGGAGCCCCAGGGAGAAATGGCAGCCATCTTGGTGGCCACGAGTCAGAGTTTGCTCACTCTATTCCATGCTGATTCTATTCCAGCAAAGAAGAAAAACTCCCCTGCTTAAGATATGCACCCCAATTTTGGAGGGCTGGTTTAGTGGGTGAAAGGTGCATGTGATATACAGATAAATATGGTAACAGCAGCAGCAGCAAAACTGACAAGAAATGTCAATTTCACCAACTAGCTACAAGAGGCATCCAGTGTCCCCAGCTGGGGCCAAACCAGCTAAAGAGATACTTGTTCCAAGGCTAGGGACCCTGCAGCTTCCAGAGCTCTTCATCCTGAAAGCATGCCCTTTCAGGAATCCACACAGGGTTCAAAACCAGACCTTGGATTTGGCAGAAGTTCAATCCAACTCAAGAAGTTTCAAAATAAATATTATGGGCTCAATGAACAAGTCGATTTTCAATTAAGTTTTATTTTGTTGGAAAATATGACCAGTTACATAGACATGAGCCCAAGAACTCTCCAGGAGACCCCAATGAATGAGTCTGACAAGTTTCAAATGTATCATAGATAACATGAACAGCAAGAGCTTCTTGGCCTGCAAGACATTTAAATCCTTTTCTCTGAAGTCAGGGAAGATTTTTCATACTGGCTATCTACATTCACAAGATCAGGAAAGTTTTCAGGAACTGCTCTGTCTTTAGAACTAGGTTCAGGGATACCATGCATAACATTTCACCACAAATACACTTTACTTCATAATTTCCAGAGAACTGAGGCTATACAGAATTATTGCACTTTCCCACAAAGCTATTAAACATTTCCAAAATGCTGCAGCTTAATTTTATTCAGTTTCAATTTGCCCACAGCTCATCACCACATACTGCTCAGTTTTCTATAGCCTAACAATGCCAATATTTTGGCCCCAAAACACTTCCCTCACACCGTTTACATTCCAAATAAAGTACTTGTTGGGATTTAAGTATCTATCTGTCTGCTCAACTGAAACTAGAAGCCGTTGCACACTTAGTCAAGAGAACCAGAAAATAATTATTATTGAAACCAATGCTGAAAAACTGTAATGTTCATACTGGTTAAAAATATGAACCAGAAAACAATTAAAAATACAAAGCATTTAAGTCGGACTTATTTTTTTCGATTAAGCACTTAATCTTTTTAAATATTGTTTTAAACTTCAGATGTTAGAAGAGGGAATTTAAAAAAAAGACTTTGAACTTTCAGGTGTTCATCTATTGTGTTAAAGTATCTTTAGATGCAAGATTTGAAGGGGTACAAAGAGTAGTATTTTACTGTGTACGTATGGAACAGAAGAAAAAAGGAATGCATTAATTTGCGTAGCACTAACACAAGTATGTGGCAGGCTAGATAAGGTATTTAATTTGAGAAGTGAACTGATACTCATCTAGCTCTTTCATATGACAGGTGCAAATTCAATGCAAGCCTCCTTTCAAATCTTGGATATCATCATGCACGCATCTTGTATAATTCTGCATAATTACAGATTGATTCATAACAGACACAGAAAGACAGTTCTTGATTTACATGACATCATCTTTTAAAAAAAGGTAAGTAAAGCAGATACATGCATAGCTCTATAAAATAAGAGACAGGAGAGCATTTAATTTGAAAGTTATCTTTTACTTACCTCAAGACAATTGTCACCTTGATTTTCAGAGATGGCAGGCACCAAGAAACAGTAAGGAAGAACAAAAATGTACAGTATGATGTTCCTCTCCCATTGAGGGTAGTTGCAACTCAAATAGCTGTCTTGTTATTTTTCTGTGCAACTCTAGTGAGCCATGGAACACATTTCATCTGACAAAGCAATAGTGCATATTCATATCAGACAGCTATGAGTTCAACTTCAGGTTAAAGGGAGGAGGATATTAAACAGGACACACATAAAATGTGGCCCAAAGCTTGTGTTTTGTTTTTAAAAAGCTACACAACCTTGAAGTTTAACAGAAGGGCTGCAAGTGTCGAAAAATTCAACAAATAAATTCCCGTGCACTGCCTAGAAACTAATACTGCAGCCATGTGCCAAAGCCTAGAGGCAAGATAAACAATGAGGACAAACTAATCTATACTGAATAAAATGAAATGCAAAAAGCAGACAGAAAGCACAACAGAAGATCATCAGATTTTAATCTCTTTTGGTCTTAATGCACAAAAGGTCATATTTGGAGGAAAAAAACCTGAAGGTGAGCAATGTGGGAATTTAAGTATAACTTTAATCTGTCAGTGTCTCTGTAGCATAATTGGAAATCTATAGCATAATTTATTCTTAAAATCATACCAATGAATTTGAGACTCCCCAAGGACCATCTTCAATAGCAGCTCTCCCCACCCCACCAAACACATGCCTTTAGTACTGATGAAAATCTGAGAAATCTATTCCCATGTCACTGTGAGAAAATGCGCATTACTAAGCCAGGAAGACAGCTCCTCACCTGTGCTGCTGCCATTCCCTTTCTGTTTTCTTTTCTTGGCTAACTGGATAGCTCTGTAGTCTGTTCTTGCAGATCCACCACTCTCCTAGAAAAACAAGGGAAAAGACATTTGATCTTTTATGCACTGAAACAATAAATTATGAAATCAAACCAACAAATTATTAGTTGAAGTGTCTTGAACATTATCTAAACACTGGTTGGTAGGGATTTCAATATGAATAAACTTTTAAAACAAATCATTAGCGCTCCAATAGATCTCCATATACCTAGCTTTTGCACATTAGATGCCATCTCCATATTTATCAGCATTATAATTTTTAATAGCCACACTGTAATAAACGGAATACTTCAGACATTTTTTTTGACAACAGACTCGTATCTAATTGTAGCATTGTACAGTGGATGGAAAAACAACATTTAAAACAGTTATGGGAATGAGAACCAAAGCTAGGTGCTCTAGTTGCTTTCTAGGCCCAAACTTTTTATGGCATGGTCTTGTGCATTATTTTCAAGTAATTCACCTGCTTAAATTTTCTTAGATATACTTCATCCAAAGGGGTTATATGTTTTTTTTAAATACAATCTTTAGTTGGAATAGGGTTCCCCCTCTGCCCCAGAAAAAAAAACAGAATTTTTAAAAGAATTATCACTATATGTACACACACACACACACACACACACACACACCACACACACACAAAATGTGTCACAGCGTAGATCAGTGTGAGAAGTCTGCCTTTAAGTTGTAAGCAGCAACGGAGTATGCTCAAAGTTAAGGCACTTCCCTCATCTGGGGATAACTGAATATAAAATCACCGCATACCAAAAAAGAACTGCCAGTCACTGTGCTAAGGTCCATTTCTTTCTGAGCACTGTAGCTTCCCGGGGGGTTGGAGAATACAAACTGTGTCACGACTTTACTGCCTTCCTGTTGACCAACAACATCTGAATTGGGAAGCAAATTTCGTTCAACCTTTATTGGAGTGAGTAACTCAGGGACATTGCTTCCACCCAGGCTGCTGGAGGGGGTCAAAGTGGCAGTGTCTATTGTTAGATTATTGCTGGATGTCAAACCATGCATATCTTGACTGGAATTCCTCACTGATAAAGATGCTAGCGAACCCAAGGCTTCTGCATTTACAGTCTGTACATCATCCAGATTTAAAGTGCTTTGCTGCAGAACTGTAGTAGGGGTTCCCAGCAAGAGAGAACTGTCCAGACTTTGTGGAATATCATTACCAGCCACCAGTATCAAAGGGTCAACAGTCTGATTTAGAGAACTGCTACTGACAGGAAGATTTCCTCCAAGTGTGGAACCCACTGAAGCAACATCAATAGTAACTATCCCAGAGTTCACGAGTGCCATGTCTGTTGAAATTCCAGAATTGTTGCCAGACACGTTGGAGAAGAGAGACACGAGGTCTATGTTGCTGAGGTCACTTTGTCCTGGACTGGTCAGTTCACTGCTAGGTGTGAGAGAACAGGTTGCTTCAAGCTGGGTTAAAAGATCTGAAAGGAAACACGGTTTCAACACATTTAATTGCAGAAAAAGACAAATAACAAAGAACATAATATTGCACCCCTTGAGCTACATCTCCCAGTGAGCAAAAAGTTAAGAACAGGAATATACAAAAGCCCCAAGAGAAACAAAATAACCCATATCGGTACCTTTTGGAAAAAAGGTAAAAAAAACAACCACCCCAAAACTTGCAGGCAAGTAGAGTAAGTTTCACCTTTACATTAACTGTGACATTTCTTATTTAGAAGAGTGTCCAAAATACTGAGCTGAACCACTGGAATTCACTATGAAATGGTCCTATTCAGTTCGTTACCTAAATATAGGATGATTATTTATGTTTGCTGTCCTACTAAAAAACAAGACTACTTTATAGCTACAAAGAATAATCCAATATTGACACTGTCAGACAGCACAGGAATATAAGCATCTCAAGTTCAGTTTCTATTCTCTAACCATCCTCCAGAAATAGTCCATATTGAAAATTCAGATTGAAAGAAAAGAAATATTGCTTTAGATCCTCATTAAGTTCTTCAAAAGGTCGTGTCAAAGCATCCTCATCGTGGCCTACTTAGTTCACAAATTTTAAATCTCTAAATCGCATAAACCAAACTCTAGTCAGCCTGACACAGCTTCCGCTAAGTTTATTACATTATGCATGTAAACCACACGGGGAAAAAAATCTAACCCCAGATAATTTTGCCACTGGTTTTCAATGGGGCCAGGATCTACCTTCAAGATTTTCTTTATAAAAATATATTGATAGTTTAGACTTTCTTCTGTATAGCAGCCATAAAGATTCTGTAACAAATGTTTTACCTGGACTGAAATTGTGCTGTTTGACCATGTGCGTCTTCATGCTATGCTTGGATGTGAACAATTTATTACAACTGGACACAGGGCAACGGGTCTTCAAAGAATCCACATCCTGCAGATGTTTCTTAGAATGAATATACAAGCTACTGCGTGCAGAAAACTTTGCACAACAACCTGCAACAAGATGCACAAGATCTTGGAGTATTTCCCCCACTTTTATTGTAAATCAGCAATTAAAAGCATTCCCTAGATAAAAAAAAAGAATCATGCAAATAAGATGTTCTACTTAGCTCTAGCTTTTGGGCATGCATGCTGCATGTTAATAAGGGAATACAAAGAAAGTAGCACAGGTTCTCACAGAGGCAAATACTATACCAAAGAAACCGAGTGAAACATCTGAAAGCATGATGCTCAAAAGACAGAAGCAAAGCTGACCCTCCTACTTGCCTATTAACTCAGTAGGAAATAAAACCCTCCCCCATAAAGGCTTATTAAATTGAACTGAAGCATCTAAAATAGCCACTGATGAATGCATAAAGGAGGAAGAAATATTTGTGACAGACCTAGGGAAGACACTTTATTTTTTGCAGTGAACCACAGTTATACATATTCTTCATTATCACCTACTTAACTTCCTAATTTGTGTTTATATTCTAAGACATTAAATCAAACAAACAAACCAGCCACCTCACTAGACACTTTGTCCCAGTGATTTCCTGCAACAGCAAAATTCAACAAATACAATATTTAACTTTTAGAAGTTTAAATACCTGGCCATTCAGACAGGGGTGTCTAAGATGGCCAGATATGATGGAAGTGCCACTTCACACTCTTGTCTAAGACACTAACATGGTTTTACCACATTAGTTGTTCAGCCTGAGCAGCCATTAACTTGAATGTGCTTTTAAGTTCAGAGACCGTTTATTGAAGGAAGGAATCAAAAGTGAACCCCCAAACCCACACTACTGATTTTTCCATAGGACCAAAACCAGGATAGTTCTTTAGGTAACTTATTCTGACCTCAAAAAAGAGATAAGGATTGGAGGAGAGTATAAGGAAGGGCAGACAAGGAGTCAGTGTGGGAACAAGAGACCTTGGACAAAGGGGCAAATGGGAGCTCAAAAAGGAGTCTAGGGGAGGAAACTAGAAATACTAGTAAGGGAATGGGGTTGAGAAAAGAAAAAGCTCAGACAAGAAGCTACGGTGGGGAAATATCAAGTAGAAGAGTCTGTGCCTACTGGAGCACTTTCACCTTGGTACCTAGAATGGAACAAAATGCCAAAGTCAGAAAACATCTCATGCCCATCTCCGGATCTGCAGATCACCTACTAATGCTACCAGTCTGTTAACTCAAGTGACAAGTCTGTACCACAGATCTGAAATTTACAGCTCTGCCAATGAATCCTTACGGGTCTTAAAAAATTTATAACAGAACTTATTTTTAAAAATTGCCGAAGTGTTAGTGCACAGGATGAATCCGCTCCAAAGATGAATTAGTGTTGAGCAATAAAGGCAGTTTTTCTCTGTAGGACTCACTCTTCTAACCATATAGGTAATAAATATAGTCTGCTTATAACTTAAGCAGCAGCAGTACCATAACTAAACATCTTTAACTGATGTCCTAATTCTGCCTTTTTGCATCCACATATCAATATATTCCCACAAAGGCAGCCTGTTCATAGAGAAAATCTAGTCAAGAAGTGCATCAGAACAGCAAAACATGGCTTTCAGACCAACGATGGTGTTTACTACTTTCCAAGCTTGGAACAAATCAAATTAAAATTAGTTATGAAAGATATGTTCCATAACATCTAAATTCAGTTACAAATGTGGATGCAACGTAACTCTCTCATGATTTCAAGTGACAGAATAATACAACATGTGTTTTCCCCCTCCCTAACTTGGCACAAAACTCATTCAATCACATGTTTTAAACAACCTACAAAAGGCAAACCAAAAACAGACAGACAGACAAAAAACACACCCCAGTTGTTAACTGTCCAGAGCTTCAATCTTGCAACAAGACTGACTTGGGCAAAGCTTACCGCCTATTACATGAGCTAGCAACCAGTTAGCAGCACACAAAATCATGAACATGAACAATACCTTCCACTGGGCATTCAAATGGTTTTGTACCAAGGTGAGTAATACTGTGGCCTTTCAAGTGTTCTGCTCTTGTGAAGGATTTCCCACAACCTTCTACAGGACATGTAAACCTCCTGTCATCTTCATGCTTCCTACAAAGAAAACACTGTCATTCCCAAAAATCAAGCCCATTACATGCTCATCTCTGACATCACTTACAACCAGAAAAACAGACCTTATGATGACAGACTGAGAGCTATGGAGCTCTTTAGCCTGGAAAAGTACAGGCTCAGGGGTAATCTGATGGCCACCTATAAGGTTATCAGAGGTGACTACCAGTATCTTGGGGAACATTTGTTCACCAGAGCACCCCAAGAGATGACGAGGTCAAACAGTTATAAACTACTGCAAGACCGTTTCAGGCTGGACATAAGGAAAAATGTCTTTACTGTCAGAGCCCCCAAGGTCTGGAATAGCCTGCCAACAGAAGTGGTTCAATCACCTCCATTGAACGTCTTCAAGAGAAATTTGGATGCATATCTGGCTGGGATCCTATGACCCCAGCTGACTTCCTGCCCCTAGGGCAGGGGGCTAGACTCAATCTTCCGAGATCCCTTCCAGCCCTAATCTCTATGAAATCTATGAAGTTTCAGTTTCACAGTTTCTAGGGTTGGAAGGGACCTGAGCAGAT